AGTAGGACAAGGACAGGATCCAGTCACACTCTCACAGAATGATGGGACGATTATCTGAGTAAAAACAGTCCTCCAAAAGACTAGGATGTGCTAGGCGATGTGAACAACCTGTATTTCAGGAATTTTCAAGCTAGGGGAAGAAAATGACCACTAGAGGGCAGTAAAAGATGGTAGATGAATAAGCTCTTGATGTTAGGGTGAGGGGTGGGGGCGGGAGGGAAGGCATCCATCAGCATAGCAAACCTCTCAGCCTGGGAACTAAAAGGCACCTCATTTATTTTTGGAGGGAGGGGGTGGCAGGTCCTGGGGCTTGCATTCAGGGCCTGGACACAGTTTCTGAGCTTTTTAGCTTAAGATTGGTGGTCTACCACATGAGCCACAGCTCCACTTCTGGTGGTTTTTAAAATAGGAGCTAACAGTCTCAGGGACTTTTCTGCCTGGACTGCCCTGTAACCACAGTCCTCAGATCTCAGCTTCCTGAATAGCTAGGATTATAGATGTGACACACTGGCACAAGGTAGGTCAGTATTTATTTGAGGGGGTGTTGGAGAACAGATTATCCTCACCCTGACCCCACCTGATCTTTCCCCACATTTTAGGAGGAAAGAGATACCTGTGGTGGTAGGGGAGCAGGCCCGATGTTTCTTGTTCTTAGATCTGACCTCAGATCTCAACCAGGAGGTCGAGACAGAAAAGCTATTCAACTTTTGTGTGCTGAATTTCCTGAGAAGGAGAAGCATATGCTGGTGCAATCCACAAGGGAGACAGGCTGGCACCTACTCAGACGCTGGGATGCTTACACAGCAATCTCAGGCCTTCCTTAGAAGCGGGTCATTTCTGGAGTAGCTGAGACTACAGGCGTGCCCACCACACTAGTCCCTTGGGTTTCTTAAAACCTATAAAAGAAACAACATATGGTAGTGCACACAGGTAATTTGGTAGTACTAGTGAAAAAGAGAAGCTAGGAATACCTTTGAGGTCCATGTAAGCCACACCCCATTCCGTCTCTTCTCACGCCCAAAAGATAACACTGGACTATGGTTTTTTAAACTATTATTAAGGCTGGACACGGGTGGCTCACGCCTGTCATCCTAGCTACTCAGGAGGCTGAGATCTGAGGATCACAGTTCAAAGCCAGCCCAGGCAGGCAAGTCCGGGAGACTCATCTCCAATTAACCACCAGAAAACCAGAAGTGGCGCTGTGGCTCAAATGGTAGAGTACTAGCCTTGAGCTGAAGAGCTGAGGGACGGTGCCCAGGCCGAGTTCAAGCCCCATGACCGACAATAAATAACAACAACAACAATAATAATAATATTCTCTTGCATAGTGAAGGGCCTTGCACTTGCCAGGCAAGCGCTTCTCCACTGAGCCACAGGCCAGCCACTATCACTATCATTATTCTCTCTGCTTTCAGGATTTTTACTTTTGTAAATACTTTGTGTAAGAGAATTTACCTCCATCTTCGGGGATTGGTGGCTCATGTGCTCACACATCCTTTGCTGCCCACCCGCCCCATAGATCCACTTCAGCAGGTGGGGGAAGCTGATGGAGGATGTGCGCATGCGCCCTTTCAAAGCCCAGCCCAGCCTGTGGGCTTCGGTGAGGGAATCAGGACACCAGGTCCCTCCCCTACCTGTGGTCCCCTTCACCGCTCCCCTTCCTAGACCTAGGGTCCCCACTGATCTTCACTCGGGGAGTAAAGGATAAAGACAACATGCGTCCACCTAAATGGGTGGGGAAAGCGCCAGTGAGGAAAATGGCACCTGCACAACCAAATCCGCGCCTCCAGACCATCAACGTTCCCGCTCACGGGCAGGCAGGAAATACGTCACAGTAGGGCGGCGCCTCGAGGGGGCGGGGCGCCCCGTCTCCACCACACACCTTGCACGCATGGCAGGCCTCACCTTCCCACAGGTGCTTTCCACCTCAGCTGCAAGCTCGCTTCATTCCCCTTCTCTGCTTTTTCTCCTGCTGGCACTTATAACCAACCAGATCAAGGAAGTCTAGGCTACGCCTGCACTAACAGGCCTGCAGGACACATGGGGGGAGCGCAGGGGGAGCCACAGCGCCACTTCCGGTTTCTAGTGGTTTATTGGAGGTCAGAATCTCACGGACTTTCCTGCCTGGGCTGGCTTTGAACCGCGATCCTCAGAGCTCAGCCTCCTGAGTAGCCAGGATGACAGGCGCCCGGCTAGTTTTCTTTTGAACTGTAGTGCAGGACACAGCAACACTCAAGTGAGTGACAAGTTGCTCCTATCAACCAACTAAAATGATGAGGCGCTCAAAGTCTTTCCATTAACTTTATTGAATAGCCAAATTCATAAGTTAGCACAGATCAAACGATTGTTGCATGGGTTACAAATGACTTTTTTTTTTTTACAGGAATAAAACAGTGAAAATTACAAACTGTAAAAAGGAAGACGTATCTTGTCTCTTAACATTTCAGAGAAGCAAGATTTAACACAGCACATTGAAGAAGATCAATACATACTTTAATTCGAGGACAAGAATTTAATGTTACAATATTATACACTACTTTACAAAATTAAAATTTCTATATAAGGATTATATTTGTAATAGTTAACAAAATCTTGAAATCACATTTGGTGGTCCCCTAGATAATAGCTGTTATGCATCTTTGATTAGAAGAAATAAATCTTTTATTCTAATTATTGCAAAACAGTCTATGAGACTCAATACATTACATTAAATTAAATACATTGAAAATATATGCAAACTAAAATAAATGGTACTGCTTGAATGAATATTAGCATGTCAGACTTACAGAAATGTTATTTAAAAAATTCTAGAAATTAGAAAAATAGAGTACTTTTTATGATAGAACTGCCATGCTCAAATTTATATACCAAGATTGCCCTTGTCTGTTACTTTAGTAGTTGTAGATCTGTAGAAAATTCAAGGATCTTTCATAATTTACAACTACAATAAAAAAAAATATGGCATCGTGTAAATATTAGTTGCTTTACATCAAGAAGTAATACAAGATGACATAGCAGGTAGTGCTCTACTTGCAAAAAAAAAAGATGAAAAAAGAAAACTCAAAAACCACATTCAATATTACAGAAATCAATTGTTGTATATGAATATCCCCCAAAGGTTCATTCATTCTCTTATTTTCTGGAGAACATGTACTGTGAATCCTAACTTGTTTTTAATGACCTGTATAAAATGATTCTGGATTGCACATGTTCCACAATATGTAAAATACATTTGAAAGTAAATGTGTGAAATATACTAACAATATGTGGTAACAGCAGGAGTCAGACCCAATCAGGGATGTAGTGAGGCACAAAGAAGGTTTGTCCTAGATGCTCAAATTGTTCCCCTGCAAGATTCTCTACTAATATTAAAAAAAGATTTACACATACCAACATTTAAAATCACATTAAGAAGACTTTAGTTCTTTTAAGAAACACCAATACAAACTGGGCTCCAGTGGCTCACACCTACAATCCTAGCTACTCAGGAGGCTGAGATCTGAGGATTTCAGTTTTATTTCAGATCTATCTGAGAGACTTTTATCTCCAATTAACCAGCAAGAAGCTGGAAGTGGAGGTGTGGCTCAAGTGGCAGAGTGTCAGCCTTGAGGGGACAAACTAAGTAAAAGTGTGAGGCCCCGAGTTCAAGCCCCAGTACTGGCACAAAAACAAAAAACCAGCAACAAAAAACCCACTAGTCCATAATGACTTTTTTAAAAGGAAGAGAAAAATATAAATTTAATTCATTATAATTTTAACATTGCTCCTTAGTAAATGAAGCAGCTTTAAAAGAAAAATTACAGGTCAATGTACCATCTGTACACTGGAAAAAAACAACAACAACCTGTTAACACTGCTTAAAAGAGATGATACTTTCATAGCTCACAATTACACTGAACCAGCTGGCAAAGAGTAGTTGCATACTCTAAGGGACCTGCTTGCTTCTTTCCTACTGTAAAAAATCTCCATTAAAGTCAGCCCATGTGGATGTAAACCTGAAAGATACTATTTCATTGGTGATCATGTAGACCAAGACTGTAAACACATTTCTACCTTATTAAATCAATAAAACAGCTATCTTTTCATCAAGTATTACACATGAACATCATTTAAGAAGTTCATAAAAGAAAAAAAATGAATCTGAAAACTGAGCCACACTCTTTAAAGATACTGTATCACAGCACTTTAAATATACAGATGTATAATTTCTCTATTTGTAAACAAAGCTCGCTCAATAGATTTTGACTATAGTATTTTTGTAGCTGAATAAAAAAGTCTCTTGAACATGTTCAGAAATCAGGGTTATTTTTTTCAGTAAGTACAATACATTGAATTTGGGGGACCCTAATATCCATTCAATCAAACAGCAACATTTGTGCATTCATGGACTTGAATATCCCAGAATATGTGAGTGACTTTCAGCCTAATTAATAAACTTCTTAGAAAAATGCATAATAAGATAGTATTTAAAACCTTTAGCTTCTTTCATTTGTCCCATTTCACCAGGATAACACTTTTAATATTAATCAGATCAGCATAAACCAGACAAACCCACCTAGAGGATCAAAATAACTACAAATTTTCATCTCCCTGTAATCACTATAAATGATAAATTGTTTATCATTGCAGAATAAAATGTCTAAGGCCTGAGCATCCAAATCAGAAAAACACCTAATTACAGCTTTCACTTCAAATCAAAGTGATTTTGTTCTTCAAGTAGAAAGAATACTGACAGATTTTAAAACTTGAATCCATTACTTCATATTCCTCTCAAACTAGAGTTAGTTTACTCTAGTTTTAGTTAACATGATAATTCTCAAAAGAAAAAAAACAACTGGGTATGGGGAATGAATTCTATTTTTCTACATTCTATTTATTTTTGGATATTCAATTTTAAAAAGATCATTACCAATGGATTTGAAACTTCCCTGCAACCTGTTAAGTCTTGTGAGGTTAAATGTAGCAGCCAAAATTTCAGAAAAAATAAAATATGAGAAATATACATGTAGAACATAGAAATCTTTATTTTACAAAATGTACAATGCCTCAGCAGCATTGTTTTGTCTTGTCCCAATCCACAACAACTCAAACATAATTGGCAGCAAAGGAACAAAGGTATTCAATCATACATCAATATATTATGATTTGAAAATTACAGTATTTTAGAGTTGCATGTTTGATTTTCTGCTGTGGTCCTTTATTTGCTATAGTTGGTTGAAATCACAGTGAAAACATCTCAATCATCACATTTTAGTTCACAAACTTAAATAGAAAAGTAAGGTACTACACATTCCCAGGAATTCTGCATTATTGTGATTTCCTTAGCAATAACTAAGTCAGATTTCTTCATTTATTCACTTGCTGCTGTATGTGCAAGAGGAATTCATAGTATGATAAAGCAGATTCAGTTCTGTCTTCCACCATGTTTTGAAGGAAGCTGGCTTTCATTGGACTCTCATCCCTTAGGAATGAAAAGTACAGTTATACTCACTAGATAAAATACAACAGTAAAAATACAGTGAAGCCAGCTGTTGGTGGCTAAGCCTGTAATACTAGCTACTCAGGAGGCTGAGATGTGAGGATTGCAGTTCAAAGCTAGCCCAAACAGCAAAGTCTGTGAGACTCTTTATCTCGAATTAACCACTAGAAAATAGGAAATGGAATTGTGAAAGTGGTTGAGAGCTAACCTTGAGAGCACCTGAGTTCAAGCCCCATGACCACCATCAACAACAAAAAGTCTGGCACAAACTGAGCAATTTTTTTTTTTTGGTCGGTCCTGGGGCCAGCGGTTGGCGCTGTCCCTCATCTCTTTAGCTCAAGGCCAGTGCTCTACCACTATCTACTACAGAGCCACTTACAGTTTTCTAGTGGTTAATTGGAGATAAGAGTCTTATAGACTTTCCTGCTTGGGCTGGCTTTGAACTATGATCCTCAGATCTCAGCCTCCTGAGTAGCTAGGATTACAGGCGTGAGCCATCAGCGCCTGGCTCAAGTCTGCCAATTGTGTATTTTATTTTTAATTTTTGTTGTTGTTGTTGGTTGTGGAGTTTGAACTCAGGGCCTGGACACTATCCTTCAATTATTTCACTCAAGGCTAGTGCTCTACCACTTTTGAGTCACAGCTCCACTTCTGGTTTTTTTTTTGTTGTTTTTTTTTGGGTCCGGTGGTGGGGCCTGAACTCTGGGCCTGGGCACTGTCCCTCAGCTCTTCAGCTCAAGGCTAGCACTCTACCACTTGAGCCACAGCACCACTTCTGGCTTTTTTTTCTGCTTATGTGGTGCTGAGGAATCGAACCCAAGGCCTCATGCATGCAAGGCAAGTGCTCCACCACTGAACTGAGCCACCTTCCCAGCCCCATCTACTTCTGTTTTTTAGGTGGTTAATTGGAAATAAGAGTCTCAAGACCTTTCCTGCCCAGGCTGATTCAAATCATGATGCTCAGATTTCAGACTCCTCAGTAGCTAGGTTTATAGGCATTAGCCACCAGTGTCTTGCTGTCCTAGACTTTAGAATTGTCAGAATTATCATAATGTGTGTATGTGTGCATGCACATGCACACCAGTACTGAGGCCTAAACTCAATGCCTGGGTACTGTCCCTTAACTTTTTTCACTTAAGGCTGGAGTTCTACCACTTGAGCCACACCTTCACTTCCAGCTTTTTGGTGGTCAACTGGAGATAAGTATATTGTGGACTTTACCTACCACAATCCTTAGATCTTAGCCTCTTTGAGTAGCTAGGAATTACAGGTGTGAGCCACTGATGCCTAATATTTGCGATACATATAGTTAGTTGTGTGTAGGCTTTCTCTGAGAACACTTGGTTGATTACATAATTTTCTGCTGTGCAGAGGAGAGTTTAGTAATTAGTAGAAATTGTTAAGCTTTTTTCCAACAAGTTTATTAAAAGTTTAGTAATTCTAATAATCATTTATAAAGCACAATTTAGTATTATTTATTGTAAAGAATTTAGTTTCCTTCTCCCCCCCATATTCTTGCAAAAGATTGCTTAAGCCACATGTATCTATCATTCAAAACAAGTCCTTGAAAGGTGAAACCAATGGTTTTAGACTTACCTTATTACATAAAGTACTGGGAAAAATGGTCTCTGTTCTCTAAGCCAAGAGATAAAAGCTATTGTTCTGGCAGATTCTGGTGTATCAAGTTCTGGAAGGTCTGTCTGTTACACAAAATCAAATGATATCCCGTGAGTTCTAATTATACATCTACTACTGTATGTACTACAGCATTCCTCGTGTGTGAGTGTGTGTGTGTGTGTGCGTGCGTGTGTGTGTGCATGCGTGCATGTGTGTCCTGGGGATTGGGTCAGGGTGCTGTCCTCAAGCTTTCTGCTCAAGGCTGGTACTCTACCACTTGAGCCACAGCTTCACTTCTGATTTTTTTTTTTGGTGGATAAGAGTTTTGTGCCAGGTGCTGGTGGGTCACTCCTGTAATCTCAGCTACCCAAGAAGCTAAGATCTGAGGTTTTCAGTTCAAAGCCAAACAAGGCAGGAAAGTCTCTGAGACTCTTATCTCCAATAAACCACCAGAAAACCAGAAGTGGCACTGTGGCTCAAGTGGGAGAGCACTAGCCTTGAGCTGAAGAGCTGAGGGACAGCGCCTAGGCCCAGAGTTCAAGACTCACAACTGGGGGTGGGGGGAAGTCTCATGGACTTTCCTGCCCAGGCTGGCTTTGAACCGCGATCCTCAGATCTCAGCCTCCTGAGTAGCTGGGATTACAGGAGTGAGCCAACAGTGCCTGGCAATTCCTCAAATTGTAACATATTTATGAGTCACCTGGTGACATTGTTGGTGCATACAGTAAATATTTTAGACGTGCTTACAATAAAAAAATTAAAAAAAATATTTTAGATGTGGAGGTCATTTTATGTTTGTTGCAAATATTGTTCTGCCCTTGTGGCCCTAAAGTAGCCAGAAAAAATAAGTGGCCTGGGCATGGCTGTGTTCTGATAAATACTTAATTAGAAAACTGATGGGTTTCCAGGAGCCAGTGGCTCATACAATCCTAGCTATTCAGGAGGCTGAGATCTGAGGATCACGGTTCAAAGCCGCCCAGGCAGGAAAGGCCATGAGACTTTTATCTCCAATTAAGCAGGGGTGCTGTGGCTCAAGTGGTAGAGCACTTGCAATGCACTGAAGAGCTGAGGGACAGTGCCCAGGCCCAGAGTTCAGGCCCCACAACTGACAAAAAACAAGAAAACAAACAACAACAACAAAAATCAACTGGTGGGTCTTGTTTGCCAAGGTCTGCTTTAGGAGAACCTTCTTGCTCTTCTCTTTATTATAACATTTAGAATGACTCGCTGCATTTCTGTGATTATTACAAGTTACTTATATTGGGTAATCATTGGTTCTAGTTGTTTTTGCTCAAGGCCTGAAAGCTAGTGCTTCCTAGATAAAAGTATGGCATAAAAACATAAAATGAGGCTGGCACAGTAACGAACACCTGCAGTCCCAGCTATTGGGAGGCTGAGGAAGGAGCATCCTTTGAGCATGAGGTCATAGGCCTGTGACCCAGGTTGCCTCTGTTGACAACCACACAAATAAAACAAGATGAGTATTTTCAGTTGAAAGAGAAATGTCTGTGGGAGAAATCTGTATTATCCATTTTTAATTTGAATTTTGCCGTACTTGGCAAAATAAAACTTACCATAGGCTGTGGAATTGATGCATAGTTTTGAACTCCTAGAACCTGGCAGAGAAAATTCTGTGCGCAGTTTTTCCCAATCCAAAGCATAAAGACCTGCAAACAGAAATAAAATTCCCTTGAGAGAGGCGAACAGTAAGTCTGCTGTTACCTTTACCACTGGGCTTTTGTTTTTTTTCTTTAAAACTTTAAATCACAGGCAAGGCAAGCGCTCTACCACTGAGCTACCTTCCCAGCCCACACAGTTCATTTTTTAACATAGTGTATATTGAATATCATCATTGCATTTGCTTTCCCTTCTTCTCTCCATTTCTGTTTCTCCTTAAAAGATAACAACAACAAAGCCTGCTTCCATTTCTTGGAATTGGTTTAGATAAGCAGTATTTTAGATGTTCCCACCTTTGGGTTTATTTTAGATGTTTATACCTTTGGGTCCTCCCTTTAGGGTATCCTCCTTTAGTCTGTTTGTATGTAAATGCATAGAGCACTGTAAAGGTTGTCATGCCCAGCTATAATTTAGATCTACCTTCTACAGGAAAGAGAACATAAGACCGTTTGTCTCTCTGAGCTTGGCTCACCTCACTTAACATGATTTGTTCTAGATCCATCCATTTCCCTGCAATGACATATTATTATTCTTTCTAATAGATGAGTAAAATTCCATTGTGTATATGTACATTTTTGATCTACTCATCTATTGTAGGGCATCTGGGTTATTTTCATAATTTAGCTACTATGAATAGTGCAGCAATGAACATGGATGTGCAAGCGGCTGTAACCTGACTTAATGTTCTGTGTAGATGCCCCAGAGTGATATGGCTGGATCATAGGGAAATTGTTTTTTGTTTTTTTTTTTTTTGGGTCCGGTCGTGGGGCCTGAACTCTGGGCCTGGGCACTGTCCCTCAGCTCTTCAGCCAAAGCCAACACTCTACCACTGGAGTCACAGCACCACTCCGGCTTTTTCTGCTTATGTGGTGCTGAGGAATCGAACCCAGGGCCTCTGGCATGCAAAGCAAGCGCTCTACCACTGAGCCATCTTCCCAGCCCGAAATTGTTTTTTTTTTTGGTGGGTCATGGGGCTTGAACTCTGTACTTGCGCTGTCTCTGTGCTCTTCAGCTCAAGGCGAGTGCTCTACCGCTTGAGCCACAGCGCCACTTCTGGTTTTCTAGTGGTTTATTGGAGATCAGAGTCTCATGGACATTCCTGCCCGGGCTGGCTTTGAAGTGTGATTCTCAGATCTCAGCCTCCTGAGAAGCTAGGATTACAGGCATGAGCCACCCGTGCCCGGCTCATAGGGAAGTTCTATGTTTAGGTTTTTGTTTTTTTGTTGGTCCTGGGGCTTGAACTCTGGGCCTGGGTGCTGTCCCTGAGTTCTTCAGCTCATGGCTAGCACTGTACCACTTGAGCCATAGCGCCACTTCCGGCTTTTTCTGCTTATGTGGTGCGGAGGGCCTCATACATGCGAGGCAAGCACTCTACCACTGAGCCACCTGCCCAGCCCCTCTATATTTAGTTTTAAAAGAGCAAAAGAATGGGTGTATTTCATGAGGAAGTACAAATTGTGACAGACACAATTGGCATTTCATTTCATGAAGAATGAGACCAGTGGGATCAAAAGGCTGATGCAAATATATGCAGGCCAGAGAACGTATGCAATCTACTCAAAAAGATATATTAAAGAGAAAAAGCCAAATGATGACCAGGTACAGTGATAGAGAGTGAGAAGGGCCAGGACAAGACAAACTACTCACGGAGCCTGCATCCAGAAGGAAAGCACCATCTCTGCTCAACTTCTCCACTGAGAGCTGAAGAATGGGGGGTTGAGGGATGGTTCGATCATTGATGTTCAGTGCTCCCTGAGAGGTTGGGAAAGGTTAAGATATAGAAGATAGATATATAGAAGATAGAGTTAAACCACAATAACAATGAAATAATGTCACCTCTAAAAGTATGGGCCTTACTTAGGCAAATCAGTTATATTTGCCACTTATTTAAAACAAAGACACTATAAATACCAAGAAAACCAAATTAACTTTTCCCCCCAGTTGTGTTGGTACTGAGGCTTGAACTCAGGACCTAGACACTCTCAGCTTTTATTGGTCAAGGCTTGCAATCTACCACTTGAGCCACACCTTCACTTTCAGCTTTTTTGTGGTTAGCTGGAGATAAGAGTACTGTGGACTTTCTAGCTTGGCTGGCTTATTCTTTTTTTGCTTTCTTCCCAGTTGTGAGGCTTGGACTCAGGGCCTGGGCGCTGTCCCTGAGCCTCTTTGTGCTCTAGGATAGCACTCTACCACTTGAATCACAGTGCCACTTCTGGTTTTTGAGCGGTTAATTAGAGGTCAGTCTCACAGAAACTTTTCTGCCTGGGATGGCATTCACTGAACCCCAATCCTCAGATCTCAGCCTCCTGAGTAACCAGGATTACAGGCATGAGCCACTGGCGCCTGGCTTAAATTCTTTAATCTGAAATATTTTAACCAAAGCATCACTTCATCTATAGCTATATCTAATCACAATTTTAGAAATATATACACAATGGAATTCTATGCCTCCATCAGAAAGAATGGCATTGCCCCACTTGTTAGGAAATGGAAAGACTTGGAAAAAATTATATTAAGTGAAGTAAGCCAGGCCCAAAGAAACATAGGTCCCATGGTTTCCCTTATTTGCAATAACTAGTATATGATCTAACATTTTTATGCTTATGATTTTAATAAGTTTCCTATTAAAAGCAAAGTTTACAATTAACTTTTTCTTTAATAATTCAAACACATTACATTGCTGACATAAGATGTTCAGTATAATTTTACTCTTGGGATACACCTTTCAGATTGATTTGTTCGAACGAAAAAACTATGGCTCTGGCTCTGGTCAATTTGACACTGTCTTCATTTCTCAGCTCTGCTCTAGAGATTTGTCTTAGCACTTAGTAAAAGCACTGTTTTCAGGAGCTTCCTTGAACCAAAGTTTCTTTTTCTTTTTTTGTGCTAGTCATGGGGCTTGAAATCTGGGCCTGGACACTATCCCTCAGCTCTTCAGTTCAAGGCTAGTGCTTTACCACTTGAGCCACAGCACCTTTCCAGGCTTTTCTGTTTATGTGGTGCTGAGGAATAGAACCCAGGGCCTCATGAGTCCAAAGCAAGCGCTCTACTATTGAGCCACCTTCCTAGCCCCCAAAGTTTCTTTTTTTTGTGTGACAGTCCTGGGACTTGAACTCAGGGCCTGAGCACTATCCCTGAGCTTCTTTTGCTCAAGGCTAGTGCTCTACTACTAGATACACTTCTAGTAATTTATTGGAGATAAAGAGTCTTGCTGACTTTCCTGCCAGGGCTGTCTTCAAATTGTGACCCTCACATTTCAGTCTCCTGAGTAAATAGGATTACAGAGGTGAGCCCCAATGCCTGAACAAACCAATGTTTCTATACATATAACCAGCAAAGAAAGAAACTATAACGCTTTTATTTCTGTACTACATGGACTATAATCAAGCTTACAGACCTTCTTAAAAAAAAGCAAGTAAAAAAGGAATCCATCTTACTTCATCTGAGAGGTTGTCAACTCTGTACAAATTGGGATGTGTTGTCAGCATAAGATGAACCAATGGCTGGTTTTTCACTTGACACATAGCAAAAATACGTTCATCTAGTCGTGCATTTGTCCCAGTCTGGAATGATTTCTGTAATAAAGATAAACCAATGCCCATCAAAAAAGACATTTAAGAAACATAGAAGCTTGTATCTGTTGAAAAAATATCCTCAGACAAAATTAGCAAATTCTGTAAATTAATTTATAAAAGAATCTAAGAAGTCAAAATGTATTAAATTGTGACTATAACCTTACCTTTTAAGCTACATTGTCTTCTTAGTGCCTATTTCCTAATTAGTAAAATAGGCTAAATACTCTTTATTTACCATATACTGATAGAGATACAATAATCTAAGCATCATGGGAAAAACAAGGTATACAGCAGATGACAAAGGTCTACATGAAGGGCCCAAAAGGTCTACCAAGTGTGCTATAAATGCTGGGTGACAATTAATAGTGACTGTCATTGTTTCTCCCATAATTAGAAATCCAACAATATTTCAAAGCTTGGGAGTCAACGGCAAAAGAAATAATACAAATGATGACAGCAGAGTAGAAAATAGTAGTAGGCAATAGCCTGTCACATGTCACTGGTGGGTACTGCCTACATGTTCTTGCCAGGGTCATTGTCCTAAAAAACCCAAATGTTTCTTGTGCCCAGCAACAGTTGCTCAATTCTCAGGGCTCTATAGCATCAGTTTTGGGAGATAGGGCTTGGAAATATCTTAGTTACTGTTGTCTCTCCCATACCTAACTCAGGATCTGGCCCACAGAAAGAGCTCAACACTTATTGAAAAAAAATGGACTCAATGTGACACCAGCAGTTCATACCTGTAATCCTAGTTACTCAGGGGTCTAGTTCTGAGGATAGCAGTTCAAAGCCAGCTGGGTTGTAAAGTCCATTAAACTTAATTTGCTCTCCAATTATCAGCACAAGGCCAGAAGTTGAGGTGTGGCTCCAGTAGTAGAGCTCTATCCTTAAGCAAAACAGCTGAGGGTCAGTGCCTAGGGGAATCAGGATTCTTGTAGGAGACAGGCCAGAGTGATCAGGTATCAGCTAGCAGGGGACAGTGATGAGCCTGATCAAATACAGAGAGTGACCACACACTGAGGCTGGGAATTTGTTAACAGACTGACTCAGCCAACTTTCTCTGACTTTAAGTCTCTTCAAATGGTAAGGTCCTTGTCCTCACAAAATGTACCTGGCACAGAATCACATATACAGTGTTGGGCGATTCCCAGGATAAAAATCTTGGCTTTTGACCTTTCATTGTTCTAGTTGCTGTTTTTGTTTCTACTTGTCTTACCTGTTTAAGGAGAGCCAATACAAATAGCGGGAAAAGCCGCAAAGAGAAAGGAACCATGAGGCCAGGCTGCTGATTACTCAGGACTAAAGACCGGTAAGCTGCTAGAGAGTCAATGACCGCATTCACCAGGGCATCCCGGGCATCACTAAGACTGGCAGACACAGACCTGTCAACAGCTAATTGAGGTGAGGGCGGGGACAAAGAGAAACAAGATAGCGGTTTAGCAACTCCTCTATAGTAAGGACCCAAGACCTTTTTCTTTTTTTTTGGGGGGGGGGGTCAGTTGTGGGGCTTGAACTCTGGGCCTGGGCACTGTCCCTGAGCTCTTCTGCTCAAGGCAAGCACTCTACCCCTTCAGCCACAGAGCCACTTCAAATAACAGGTAAAAACATGTTCTGGGGAACCAAACCAAACCCTCCAGAGACATTTTTCTATTTTTTAGTAGTATAATTCTTTGCATTTTGATGCAATCCGGAAAGAAATCTAATCTTCCTAAATCTGTTTCCTTATCTGAAAATTGGAAACACTGAAAAAAACACCAAAATATTACTTGAAATATGAATTCATACTGCTGTTACATAGTTATATTTTGTATTTATGGACTTTAGATTTCAACTTTGGCTGGGCATCAATGGCTCATTCCTATAATCCTATCTACTCAATAGGCTGAGATTTGAGGATTCCAGTTCAAAGCCAGCCCAGGCAGGAAAATCTGTGAAACTCTCATCTTCAATTAGCCACAAAAAGCTGGAAGTGAAGCTATGGCTGAAGTGGTAGAGCCTTGAGCACAAAAGATTAAGAACAGAGCCCAGGCCCAGAATTCAAGGTTCAGGTCTACAGGTCTGGGAAAGAGAGAGGAGGTGGGGAGAGGGAGAGTTTTTCATCTGTTATGCTGCTCTGAATCTTTTTTTTTTGGGGGTGCTGTTTTGGGCACTGTCCTTTAGCTTTTTCACTCAAGCTGGTGCTCTACCACTTGACCTATAGCTCTACTTCCAGCTTTTTGCTGGTTAACTGGAGATGAGGCTCATGGACATTCCTGTCCAGGGTGGCTTTGAACGTAAACCCTCAGATATCAGCCTCTTGGTTACAGGTTGTCATCTCTGCCCAGGCAACTTTTTTTTTTTTTCTCTTCTAATTAGTAAAAGCAGTACACTTATTTCAAAGATTTCTCTATCTACAACTCATTCAATTCATGTGGTATGAAAAACATAGTAAAATAATTTTATTTACTGCTATGACCAAAATCTTCACCAAGGCAAGCATTCTACCACTGGGCTATAACTCCAGCAATTTTTTTTTTGTTTGTTTGAGACAAAGTCATGATATATAGGCCAGGCTAGCCTCCAACTTATAATCCTCCTGTGTCAGCCTCCAGAGTGCTGTAACTGCAGCCATGTACCACCGTACCTTGCTACAACCTTCAAGTTTTAACAACATATAACAAACAATACTAAAGCAAAGCTCCATAAAAGAAAATGCTCCCAACAGGAAATTCAGAAACTGGCTAATCCTGTTATAGGCAGGTTTGAGTCTATAGCAAATGGCCCCTCCTCCCTGAGGGAGACAGGCTGCAATACACAAACTCAGGTTAAACCTTATAATCTGTAAATGAGCCAAAGGCATAAAGAGGCAACTGTACTTGAGATGGAAAGAAATATGGCAAGATATGGACAAGGCTGCAAACACATATGTGATAGTATTATTTTTTTTTCTGATACCACAGTTTTAACTCAGGGTCTCATGCTTGTTCAACTAGCACTCTACTAATTGAACCATGCCTCCAGCTGGTTTTTGGCTGGTTAATTTAAGATACAGCTGTCTTCAAACCTCAGTTGTCTCAATCTGTCTTGTGAGTAGTTAAGATTATGGGTATGAACCATTGGCGTCCAGCTCTAAGTATAATGATTTTTAAGGTATACCACCATCTCTTATTATCCAAGTTACAGTGTTCATAAAGCACTATTGTGAATAATTCTATTAAGCACCAATATCAAACATAAGTTATGTTTCTTTTGTGTGTGTGTGTGTGTGTGTGTGTGTATGTTGGTCCTGGAACTTGAACTCAGGTCCTGGGCAATGTCCCTAAGCTTTTTTTCTAAAGGCTAGTGCTCTGCCACTTGAGCCACAGTGCCACTTCTGGCTTTTTGCTGGTTAACTGGAGATAAATATCTCAGATTTTTCTGCTCAAGGTGGTTTTAAACAAGTCCTCATATTTCAGCCTCCTGAATAGCTAGGATTATAGGCACGAGCCACCAGCACCTGGCTAAGACATGGCTCTTTAAGTCCAAAGTAGATAAATGTATACAGACAGAAAGTAGCTTAGTGGTGGCTTAAAGCCAGTTGGCAAATTAGTAGGAGTACACACTAGTTGACCTAGCCATGAAAGTCTTTTTGGGATGATAAAAATGCTCTAAAATTAGACTATGACAACGTTGGTATAATCCTGTAACTATATAAAAACAACACAGCTAGGAAGGTGACTCAGCGGTAGAGTGGTTGCCTTGCATGCATGAGGCCCTGGGTTCGATTCCTCAGCACCACATAAACAGAAAAAGCCAGAAGTGGCGCTGTGGCTCAAGTGGTAAAGTGCTAGCCTTGAACTGAGGAGCTGAGGGACAGCACCTAGACCCAGATTTCAAGCCCCATGACTGACCAAAAAAAAACAAAAGCAAAAAATACAGCAGCAGGCAACAGTGGTACATATCTGTAATTCTAGCTACTAAGGAGTCTGAAATCTAAGGACCTACAGTTGAACACTAGCCCGGGCAGGAAAGTATGAGGTATGGCTCAAGTGGTAGAACACCAGACTTAAGTGAAAAGCTACAGTGCCTAGACCCTCAGTATTGGCACAAAACAAACTAAAAACCCTAATGGAGTTGCACAATTAAAATGGTAAAATCCTATCTAATATAATTTTATCTCAATAAAGGTTCTTTAAACAAAAAGATTATCTGTAGCAAATCTTCCCATTGAAATAGTTAAAAGGCCAACACCTAAACACCAAAAATATATTTTTCTTTTCATAAAAAAATTGTTTTGGCAAAGGTGATATTCACACAGTCCCTGAGCTCTTTTTGCTCAAGGCTAGCACTTTACCAGTTTGAGCCACAGGTCCATTTCCCATTTCTGGTGGTTAATTAGAGGTAAGAGGCCCATCAATTTTCCTGGCTGGGCTGGCTAGGAACCGTGATCCGCAGGTCTCAGCCTTCTGAGTAGCTAGGATTACCAATGTGAGCCACCAAGGCTGGCTATGAGTACATTTCCTTTTGAACAATTAAATATCTTATAAAAGCTAATTACTGGGGGGAGGGATAGTGGGAGAAAAACAAAGGCATGGATAACAATGTTCTACAAGAAATGTACTCATTACCTTACTTATATAACCCTTCTATACAGCACCATTGCAACAAAATAAAATAAAGCAAAAAGCTAATTACTTAAAGGAAAACAAAAATAAGTGATTTGCCTTTATTTGTAAAATATTTACCGATGATAGCAGCTCTTACCCATATTGGCCAATAGTCCTGAAATTGCTTGAACATCAGCTCCAAGAAAGACCTCATTCAGAGTAGCAACTACAGGCAAACACAAAGTATGGACTCGGATTCTTCTTTCACCTTTGGGGAAAAGCACATGATGATTAGGGGCAGATACACACCAAAATATTATGCTGAAATCAGCTCTCCTCAGTATAGAGGTGAGTAGAGTCATCCAGAAAGCAGAGATTGTATCAACACTCTACTTTTTGTTTTTATGTTTTTGGTAGTCCTAAGGTTTGAACTCAGAGCCTCATGCTTGCTAGGAAGGCACGAGGCACTCTACCACCACTTGATAGTACCTTATTGGGTTGGTTATTTTCAAGATAGCGTTTCATTTTATGTCCAGAAATAAATCTGTAAAAAGTGGGTAACAAATTGCCGGGCACTGGTGGCTCACACCTATAATCCTACTCAGGAGGCTGAGATCTGAGAATCACGGTTCAAAGCCAGCCCAGGCAGGAAACTCCTGACACTCTTATCTCCAATAAACCACTCAGAAAACCAGAAAACTGGAAGTGGCACTGTGGCTCAAGTGGTAGAGCATTCGCCTTGAGCTGAAGAGCTGAGGGATAGTGCCCAAGCCCAGAGTTCAAGCCCCATGACTGACCCCCCCCCAAAAAAGTGGGTAACATTAATTTATAGTTTTAAATTATTTTAAATAGATACTATGATATCTGAACAACAACAACAACAAAAAGACAATATTTGGGGCTGGGGCCAGTGGCTCACATCTGTAATATTAGCTGTTTCAGAGGTTGAGAATGGAAGGCTCATGGTTCAAGGCTAGTCTAAGCAGAGTTCAGGAGAGACCTTCTCAACTCATAGCTGCGTGCAGTGGTTTGCACCTATTGTCCTAAACTAGGTAAGAGGCTAGAATTGGGAGTATCACAGTTCCAGGCCAGCCTGTGCAGAAGAGTCCATAAGACTCCATCTCAATAGAAGGAAGCTGATGTGTTGTTGTGCCTGTCATCACTCAGGCCCAGATTCAAGCCCATGACTGACCAAAACAAAACAAAACAATGCCACAATCAGAAGCTGAAATTAAAAGGGCAATTTGAAGAGAATACAAACTGGCAAAATATTCCTCAAATTTTGGGAAATAAGTTAATAACAAGATTTTTCTAAGTAAACTCTATATTCAGTATTTTCATTTCACGGAATCCACCTTAAAGAAATCACAATAAATAACAAAGATTTATTTATAGGCAAGAAATTATAAACACTTTTCATATGAACAGAATATTAGAAAAAGCTAACTTTGTAATGAGAACATTGATGGTAAATTATGGTAGATTGCTTTGTAACTTTGTTCTTTTTGTCCTGGGGGCTGAATTCAGCTTTCTGCTTGCCAGGTGGGTACTCTAGCACTCGAGGCACAGTTTTCCTTGTTTTGTCCCAGTTTTCCTTGTTTTGGGGATAGGGTCTCATGGTTTTTGCATGGGCTGGCTTAGGCTGGGATCCTCCTACCCCCTTTGCTATGTAATTGTGATGACAGACAATACCTTCATGCTCAATACAGGTTGAGATGGGGGATTATTAAATTGCTACAGCACAGTATCTTATAGAAGACTCTCAATAAGTATCTGTGACTGGCAGCACAGGCTTGTAATCCTAGGACGTAGGAGGTGAGGCAGGAGGATCATGAATTCTAGGCTAAGCTGGGCTATATAGCAAGACTTGTCTCAAAAATAAAATTGACTGAGCCGGGCACCAGTGGCACATGCTTGTAATCCTACTACTCATGAGGCTAAGATCTGAGGATCACAGTTCAAAGCCAGCCTGGGCAGGAAAGTCCAAGAGACTCTTTATCTCCAATTAACCACCAGAAAACTGGAGGTGGCGCTGTGGTTCAAGTGGTAGAGTGCTAGTCTTGAGCTGAAGAGGGACAGCGCCCAGGCCCAGAGTTCAAGCCCCACGACCAACAACAACAACAAAAAAACATTGCAAAAAAAAATAAAATTAACTGGACGCTGGTGGCTCACGCCTATAATCCTAGCTACTCAGAAGGCTGAGGATTACAGTTCAAAGCCAGTCTAGCCAGGAAACTATGTGAGACTCTTATCTCCAATAAACTACTTAAAAAAAGAAAAAGCTGGAAGTGGCACCGTGTGTGGCTCAAGTAATGGAGCATTCTCTTTGGGCAAAAGAAGCCCAAGCCCAGAGTTCAAGCTCTAGGATTGCCCCTGTCCCACCCCCCCAAAAAAAACCCCCAAATCCATAAAATCTGTGAATAAATCAAATGACAAACATTTTGGCTCTTTCAGGAATAGCAAAAAGCTCTTCTTTTCTTTCCTTCTTTCTTTTTTTTTTTGGTGTGTGACAATATGAGGCTTAAATTCAGGTATAGGTGCTGTTCCTTAACTTTTCTTACTAAAGGGTGGTACTGTACCACTTAAGTCACAATTCCTCTTCTAGCTTTTTGCTATTTAACTGAAGATAAGATAAGAGTTTCACGAAGCATGATCCTCAGATCTCAGCCTCCTGAGTAGCTAGGCATGAGCCACCAGTGCTCAACTACTTTTTTTTTTTGGTCATGGGGCTTGAACTCTGGGCCTGGGCATTGTCCCTCTTCAGCTCAAGACTAGCGCTCTACCACTTGAGCCACAGCGTCACCTCCAGTTTTCTGGTGGTTAATTGGAGATAAAGAGTCTCTTGGACTTTCCTGCCCAGGCTGGCTTTGAACTGTGATCCTCAGATCTTAGCCTCTTGAGTAGTAGGATTACAAGCGTGAGCCACTGGTGCCGGGCTTCAGCTTCCTTTCTGACCTAAAAAAATTATTACTTATTTCAAGGAAGACAGTTTATCATAGACTATGGAAAAATCTGCCTTTAATGTTATGATTATAGTGAAAAATGCTGTATTGTACACGTATACATTTAATAAGAGGGTAGGTCTCTTCTTATGTTACTTTTTTCTATACACTTACCTTTGCTTGACGTATATAACAGTGCTGACTGAAAAGAAACCAGCTGAGTGTCAGTGAGACTCTCTTCTACTGACATCTGTACTGCATACCCAGCATCAGGGTTGACGTTGGGTAGAGACAGTAAGTCTGTTGAACGGACAAAGAAGTTCCCATGGAAAGTATGAATGGATAGACCTGAAAGAGAAAAAGTTATCAAAATGACTTTAACTGTATTTTGATTTTTGTCTTTTCTTTTTTGGAACTAGGGATGGAACCCAAGATGCTGCACTTGCTAGGCAAGTGTTTTGCCACTGAGCTTCGTTTCAGCCCTCAAAATGACTTTACTATGCTTACTTATGGATACTTACTTTTATTTTTTTGGTCCAGGACTTGAAGTCACTATCTGATGCTTTCATTCACTGGCTGGTGCTCAACCACTTGAGCCATGCCTCCAACCCTGGATATTTACATTTTATCTTAGTGACTTATCAAACAGTAAAAAAGTTTAGATAATACATAGTATTTAGTGTGTTGAAGGGTAATAAGTGCTTGCCTTTGGAAGGAGCACTAGTGGGCTTTAAACTCTGAGCCTTATGTTTGTTAGTCTGGTGCTCTACCACTTGAGAGTTCCACTTCTGGCTTTCTGTTGGTTAATTGGAGAGAAGAGTCTCACAGACTTTCCTGCTTGGGCTGGCTTCAAAACACAATCCTCAGATCTCAGCCTCCTGAGTAGCTCAGATTACAGGCATGAGCCATTGGTATACAGTATGTGCTGGTTATTATTTGTTTGTCTGTTTATTTTTGTTGGTCGTGGAGCTTAAATTCAAGACCTGGGCACTGTCCCTGAGCTGTTTTGCTCAAGGCTAGTGTTCTACCACTTTGAGACCCAGTGCCATTTCTGGTTTTTTAGTGGCTAATTGTAGATAGGAGTCTCATGGACTTTCCTCCCCAAGCTGTCTTTAAACCCCAGTCCTCAGATCTCACCCTCCTGAGTAACTAGGATTACAGGTGTGAGCCACTACTGCCCAGCTTGCTGGTTATTTCTGAGGTAGAGTCTTGCTTGCTGCCTGAGCATATACCTGGATAACAATCCACCTATTTTAGGCTTCCCATATTAGCTAGTATGATAGGCATGTACAAGTCACTCAGCTATCTGTTAAGGAAGTATTTTGTTTAACTTTCCTGCCTAGGCTGGTTTAAACTGTAATTCCCCACAATCTCAGTCTCCCAAGCACCTGGGATTACAGGTATAAGCCAACGGCCCCAAGTTATTAGTGTCTTTTTTTTTTTTTGCCCCTATTAGTGTTGTTGTTGTTGGCCATGAGGCCACTGAGCCACCTTCCCAGCCCCTATTAATGTTGTTGTTGGCCATGAGGCTTGAATTCAGGGCCTGGGCACTGCCTCTGAGCTCTTTTGCTCAAGGCCAGTGTTCTACCACTTCCAGCTATAGTGCTACTTCTGTTTTTTGAGTAGTTAAATGGAGATAACAGTCTCATGGGGACTTTTCTGCCTGAGCTGGATTTGAACTATGATCCTCAGATCTCAGCCTCCTGAGTAGCTAGGATTATAGGTGTGAGCTACCAGCAGCTGACTCAAATACCTTTTTGTAGGAAAATTTGGCTGTATAATTATTATTTTAGGTGGGCAGTTATTTGGACCTTAGCAATTTCTTATTTAACAGTTTATCCTACAGTTACACTTATTGAAGTGCCATATTTCTTTGGATAAACAAAAAAATCTAAACAGATCTGTTTTTACCATAGCAAAATACTAAAAAGTACCATCATATTTACTAACATCATATTTACTAACAAGAAAAATAAATTGTGATTGGTCATTCAAGTTAGTATTATGGTAAATTAATTAAAATAAATGGATTTTATTTATCTATATCATTATATAAATATACTATATATATCCCATGGAGCTCGAGTTAAATCTATAGGAAACACTTACCAAAGTGGATACAGATACTACTTAAGGATATAGTTTATGTGTATCCGTACATTCAAGCTGATATAGAAGGAATTTAGAGCCAGATCCTAATGGCTCACATCTGTAATCCTAGCTATTGAGGAGGCTGAAATGTAAGGATTACAGTTCAAAGCCAGCCCAGGCAGAAAAGTCTCTGAGATTCTTCATTCCAATTAACTACCAAAAAGTCAGAAGGAAGCTGTGGCTCAAGTGTTATAACACTAGCTTTGAGCAAAACAGCTCAGGGAAGCCAGCTGCTCGTGGCTCATGCCAGTAATCCTAGCTACTCAGGAGACAGATCTGAGGACTGTTTCAGCCAGCCCAGATAGAAAAGCCCCTAAGATTCTTTTTTTTTTTTTGAGGGGCGGAGGTGGTCCAGTCCTGGGGCTAAAACTCAGGGCCTGGGCACTGCCCCTGAGCTTCTTTCGCTCAAGGCTAGCATTTTACCATTTGAGCCACAGTGTTACTTTGGGCTTTTTCTGTTTATGTGGTACTGAGGAATTGAAGCCAGGACTTCATACATGCTAAGCAAGCACTCTACCATTAAGCCACATTCCCAACCCTGTGAGACTCTTTATCGCCAATAAACTACTCAGAAAAAAGCCAGAAGTAGTGCTGTGGCTGAAGTAGTAGAGTGCTAGCCTTGAGCACAAACAGGCTCAGGGACAGCACTCATGCCCTGAGTTCAGCCCCAGAGCTGGCACCAAAGAATAGATAGATAGATAGAATAAATCCTTTAAGGTAAGACTAGGTGAAAACAGGTATGCATACAGATCGATATAAGAAACAATATTTATACCTATATGGAAAAAGTAGTGTTCCTACCTTTGGTGCATCGAATTCTCATAACTGCCTCAAAGCCAATCTTCCTAGTGAGGTACCTCTGCAGTTCCTTCTGTAATTTCTGTACTTGAACCGGATTGTGCTGATGATGGTATGATGGGTAGTAATATACACTACCTGCTGAGTACCGAGAAATACACCCTGGAAGAGAAGACACACTCGTTTTTAATTTATTTTTTCAACACTGGGGTTTAAATTCAGGGCTTTGTATTTACCAGGAAGGTACTTTAACCCTTGAGTCACATCTTTATCCCTTTGTGCTCAGGTTATTTTTGAGATAGGGTCTTGCTTTTGCTCCGGCTGGCCTAGCCTAAAGTACTTACTATTCACAATTTCTGCCTTAGTGGCATGCCACTAATGGCATCTTTTTCAGTTGAGATGAGGTCTCTTGAACTTTTTTGCAAGGCAGGCCCTGCCGTCTAAACCCAACCTCTTGAGTAGCTAGGATTATAGGTGCAAGCCATCATGCCTTGTTTAATCATTTTTGTTCCTTTCTTTTCTTTTCTATAGCTCAGGCAATTTTCCATTCCTTTTAAAGAGTGCCTTTAATTACTGTAACTATACCAAGGTTACCACAAGCATTTTCCACAGACTTTCTCTAATTTCTCAAGGTACTCTTAAAAAGAATTCACACAGCATTGCAGAAATGTCTCTAATTCTCTTCTACTGCATTAGAGTAGACTGCTACAAAGTTTGTAATAGATTTAACCTGACAACTGGCCTGAGAGTTGTGAACTCCCAGCTAGTCAGGAGGCTGCATGTGTTGAGGTAAAAAATCCTTTGAGTCCAAGACCCTGGGCAACATAGCAAGACCTTATTTCAAAATAGACATTTAAAACACAAAATGAAACAAAACCTGGCTGATTTAATTTTTTTTTTGGCCAGTAATGGGCCTTGAACTCAGAGCCTGGGCATTGTCCTTGAGTTTCTTTTGCTTAAGGGTAGCACTCTACCACTTGAGTCACAGTGCCACTTCTGGGACTCTTTCTGTTTATGTGGTACTGGGGAATCAAATCTAGGACTTCATGCATGCTAGGCAAACCACATTCCCAGCCTTTGGCTGATTAATTCTCCCAAAGGAATAAAAATTCTTTTACTCTTCCTCCTCCTTGAGAATGTCATTATATAAATGCCATTTTGATATTCATTTACTATCTTAAGAACTTACCCAGAGAAGCCAAATCAGAATACTGTCCACTGAGAAGGAATAAGTCAACAGCTACCTGCTGACCAGAACAGTCCAAGGCTAATTTCTTATAGAAGTCAGTAGATGGTGTCAGGTGTATTTCCTATTAATAATAACAGAAAAAATGATTTAAAAGTTATTAAATTATCCAAAACGGAATTATTTTCATGTGTATACAACAATTATATTATTGTTACTCCACCTCTGTATATATAGGTAACAATGATCTCTGGGCATCCTATCTTTTTTTCATAGAGAATCATGTACTGGCCTAGTATGGTAGGACATGTCTCAACCCCAACGTTTAGAAGGCTAAAGAAGGAAGATGCTGAGTTTGAGGCCAGTCTGAGCTACATAACACTCTGTCTCAAAAGACCAAAAAAGAAATAACATGTACTGTTTAAGAATTTTCTATGCATTTCCTAGGGATGTAGTTCAGTACAGAGTGCTCTTAGCATGTGTAAGACCTTGGGTTCAGTCCTAGCACCACATCAAAAAAAAATAGAGAGAGAGAGAGAGAGAGAGTGAGTGTGTGTGTGTGGGGGGGGGGCTTGGGTTCAGTCCCTAGCACCACTTCAAAAAAATAGAGAGGGTGTGGGTGTGCCCAGTGGCTCACACCTGTTATCCTAGCTATTCAGGAGGCTAAGATCTAAGGATTGTGGTTTGAGGCCAGCCTGGGCAGGGAAGTCTGTGAGATACTTAGCTCCAATTAACCACCAAAAAAGCTCAGGGACAGTGCCCAGGTCCTGAGTTTAAGCCCCAGGATCAATGTGAGTGTGTGTGCATGCATGCACATACACATATGGTTTAAGGTAATAAAAAATTATTGAAAAAAAAATGAAAGCATGGCTGGGAATATGTCTTAGTGGTACAGTGCTTGCCCTACATGCATGAAGCCCTGGGTTCAAGTGGTAGAGTGCTAGAAAGCTCAGGGACAATGCCCAGGCCATGAGTTCAAGCCCAAGGATTGGCAAAAAAAAAAAAAAAGATGAAAATATTTCCCAGGTTCTCCTTCCCACCGCCCCCATACCCCTCCATCCCTCGTTCACAAAACAGAGTACCATACTAGGCAACAATGGCTCATGCCTATAATCCTAACTACTCAGGAGGTTGATATCTGAGTATCCTAGTTTGAAGCCAATTCAGGCAAGAAAGTCCATAGACACATTTCCAATTAACTATAAAAAAACTGAAGTGGAGCTGAGGCTGAAATGGTAGAGTGCTAGCCTTGAGTGAAAAAGCTAAGGGACAGTGCACATGCCCTGAGTTCAAGTCCCAGTACTGACATTTAAAAAAAAACAAAAATGAAGTTATCTATATTTTATTAATTTTTTTTTTTTTTTTTGCCAGTCGTGGAGCCTGAACTCTGGGCCTGGGTGCTGTCCCTCAGCTTTTCAGCTCAAGGCTAGAACTCTACCACTAGAGCCACAGCTCCACTTCCAGCTTTTTCTGCTTTACGTGGTGTTAAGGAATTGAACCCAGGGCCTCATTCATGCAAGGCAAGCACTCTACCACTGAGCCACCTTCCCAGACCAAATTTTTTAAGAGACTAATTAAAAACAATTCCACTATTTATCTATAATATGTATTTAGTCCACTGAGTACGTTATGAAGTGGGTGATATAATTACTTTTACTTTGTAAAACTAAGGAGCTAATAAGCTAACTATTCAAGTTGTATACATCTAAGAACAGTATAGCACGTAACAAGTTTGACTCCAGAAGTGGAATCATATACTGGTTAATCTCTCAAACTCTTAAGTTTACATACACAAGATGCTCAAAAGCTGGCAGTGTGTGAAATTATGATCCTTCCTAACTGGTCATTCGTATATGTCCATGTCTCTTAGACTTTTTCATTAAAGCTGGGCTGGATTATTAGCAGCCTGGTAATGATATTAGAAACTAGGTATGGGTAAATCAGATAGAACGAAATGTAACAAATTAGGTGCATCTTCATAAACATGAAAAGCTTTACCTATTTCCTTATATCCCCCCTCCCCACAACTGAAAAAAGGAAACGAAATAAGCTGTGTCACCAAACAAAGTACCAGGATAAACGTATTAAAACTTAATAATTTCCTAACCTTAGCAGATGACCTCTGACTGGGCTCTTCTCGTGGTTTAAGGGCTCCGACACCAAGAGTTGGGAGTTGGGTTTGAAAGACAGACATTCTACCACCAGTTGGGGACATCAGCTTAAAGGCAGCCTGAAGGGCAGGACCCAATGCACTCTGGGTCTCCAGAGTCTTGGTAAACATTTGTGGCAAAGTTTTCAGTAAATCTTGAACAAGCTTGTGAAATAAAACAAGAAAAAACAAGTGTTAACAATTAATTTTTTTTTTCCACAATAAGTCAGTAGTATCTAATAGAACAGACAAGACATTGAGTCATGATGATGGTCAGAGAATCTACAGACACTAACAGTAAACAATGAAGTTGGTCAAATGACAGGAAAGCCATTGAAAGTCAACATTATATATTGGCAAGCAAGACATCAGAATCAGGGCCTTACAGTTCTTGCACATGCAATAGTCCAGCAAGACTGTAAGTCCAAAATGTATCTAAAAGAACCATCGCAGCTTAGAAATTTGATCTGTTTTAAGGCCATGAAATATGGCTTTCTCTATCACCTCTATGCACTTTATTCTTTTAGGTTCCAGAGTTTAACTCTTCCCTACCGCAAACACTGACATAATCCATTAACTTTGCCAACTAGGGAAAGGAAAACAAAATCAAAACTAACTACCTCATATGCAGGTTAGGTTGTACGAAGAGAATTAATGGGGAAAATACTTTGTACCAGGCACAACGACCACTGCCAACAGCAGAGACCGTAGACTTGCTAGTTAAGATGTTACCCCTACGGCATGTATGCATGTACAGGGTAGACAACATCCCCCCTTCAGACACATTCTGTTCACCTCTCACTGTATTATGTCAGGGCAATTTCCAGGCAGGTAATAAGAGTTTCTTCTGAACTGACCCCAATGACACTCTGTGAATCAGAAAAGCAAAGGGCACTGAGAGCAGGCTGGCTAATGTGCTTCCGTGCAGTGACCGTAGCGTTCTCTCAGCAACCCTCCCCCTTCCCACGTGGCTGGCAGGTCAGGTCTTCAGGTACTCTTCCTTCTGGAAGAGGCTTATCTTCTACTCTACTACAAATAAGTTGCTGCATTAGACTCAAAAGTGACCAGCACAAGGGTGAACCCAAGAACTGTTCTTCTAACTTAAACTAAGAGCAAATATAAAATGCTACATATCCTAGAATTGTCAAGGAAAGAAATAAAGCTTTACCTAGGGTTCATTTTTTAAAAATGTCTTCAATATTTAAATTAAACATGGCAGGTAGAAAACTGTGCCTTACCTCTTTACTTTCATTTAAATTTACAAGTAAGTTTTCTGGCATCGGTACAAAAACATCTGAAAGAATAAAGAAAATATTTACTTGAAACAAGATGTAATTTTTAGAGATGTTCTAAACACAATGACATTGATGTAATTAAGCATCTCCAACCATCACAGCAGTGTTCACATATGTTTAACAAGCCATTAATGGGACACTTGTTCAGGTACTTATTAAAATTTTTCTGTTTTTTCTGCCTTGTAAAAATTAAGAAGCCTTCCAATTAGAAAATACTGGTCCTGTTAGACATTGGTGGCCCATGCCTGTAAATCTAGCTACTCAGGAGGCTAAGACCTGGAGCAGATCTTGGTTCATAGCCAGCCTAGGAAGAAAAAGTTATAAGACTCTATCTCCAATCAATCACAAAAATGCTAGACTATAGGCAGAGCATCAACTGTGAGCAAAAACAGCTGTGAGTGGGGCAGGGACTGTGGCTTAGTGGTAGAGTGCTTGCCTAGCATGTATAAGGCCCTGGGTTCAATTCCTTGGTACCACATAAACAATAAGTACAATTAAAAAAAATTTTTTTAAAAGCCAGGCACCGGTGGCTCAGGCCTGTAATCCTACCTACTCAGGAGGCTTGAGATCTGAAGATCACAGTTCAAAGCCAGCTTGGGCAGGAAAGCCCATGAGACTCTTATCTCCAATTAAATACCAGAAAACTGAAAATGGTGCTGTGGCTCAAGTAGCAGTGTTCACCCTGAGCTGAAGAGCTCAGGGACAGCACACAGGCCCAGAGTTCAAGCCCCATGACCAATACCAACAACAACAAAAGATAAATAAATAAAATAATAAAAAATAAAACAACAACTGGGAGCAAAAGAAAAGATGAGCAAAAGCCCAGGGCCCTGTGCTCAAGCTCTGGTAGAGAATTTTTAGAAAATTTAAAAACAAAACAAATACAAAAACAAAAAAGACAGGAAAAAAAAGAAAGAAAATATTAATCTGTAAGCACTCAGTAGGTTTGTGTACTATGTAAGGGCCTGGCTTCTTCGCTTGAAAACAATTTAGCATTTGTATGGAAGGCCCTGCAAACCAGCCAAAGATACAATTTTGGCAAGTAAACAAAAGAAAGGAGGGAGGGGAAGGGAGACAAAGGGAAAAAGTTTAAAAAAATTAAAGGCAACTAATATGACACCTAAGAATTTTGCTTTTATTCAGAATTAGTATAGTTCACTAACTTCTATCATTCAAAATGCCAAGGCCTTCTGCAGTGACCACACAATCCAGTGAATCAGAACACATTCTGACCACTTTGTGGGCCTCTTAGGATTCACATTTTTAATTCTCGCTTTTGGAATTAAATTCATTTTGTTAAGATATAAGCTCACTGAGTGAAAAAAATTATAAGAAAAAAAAAGGAGTAAGAAGATCCTTATCTTCAGTTAACTACCAAAAAGCCAGAAGTAGAGCTGTGGCTCAAGTGGTAGAGGGATAGCCCTGAGCACAAAAGCTCAGGAACAGTGTGTTCAAGCCCCAGGACCAGCACAAAATAATAAGACCAATAAATAATTTAAAACTTCATTTTTTAACAGTTTTACAAGCCAGGCATGGTCATGCACACCTAAAATTGCAACATGCAGGACACAGAAGCTGGTAGATCATGAGATTGTGAGTTCAAGGTTAGCTTAGGTTACCTAGCAAGATCCTGTCTCAGAAAACAAGAGTAAATTAACAACTTAACTGGGATGTAATTCACATATCATGAGGTCTACCTTCAAAGAGTACAATTTTAGGTGGGTGACGTGACTCAAGGATACAACACATGCCTAACATCCAAAAAGCCCTGGGTTTGATCTTCAGCATCATAAAAACAGAAACAGTTCCCTGATTTTTTATCTATTCACAGAGTTGTACTTTATCTCAAAAAGAAATTGTAACTAGTAACAGTTTACCCAAGTTTCTGGGAACTGTGCTTTCTGTTCCTATGGAGTTTTTTAAGAGCATTTCATATAAAGAGAACACACTAAGCCAGATGTTGGCAGCTCCCAACTGTAATCCTAGTTACTCAGGAGGATGAGATCTAAGGATCGTGGTTTGAAGCCAGCTGGGGCTGAAAAGTCCAGGAAGTAGTGCTATGGCTCAAGTGGTAGAGCACAGATAGCCTTGAGCACAGAGGCTCAGGGACAGTGCCTAGGCCCAGAGTTCAAGCCCCAAGATTGGCAAAAGAAAAAAAAAAATTCAGAGACTCTTATCTCTAATTAATATAAGCAGAATCCCAGTCTGGAGGCATGGTTCAAGTGGTAGAGCACGAGCTGTGAGTTCAAACAATGGGACTAACATAATAAACAAACAAACTTAATTACATCATTATATGTAGTCTTTTGTGACTGCCTTCACTTGAAATAAGCAAAACATTTTCAAGATTCATCTATATTAGTATACATAGAAATTCATTCTTTTTTACTACTGAAAAATGTCATTGCAGGAAAAAAAAACACATTTTAATGAAGTGGTTATTCCACATTTTAGTCATACTATCATAAATATTCATATGTAATTTGGAGGGGTGGGGGGAGTGCTGGTCCTAGGGCTTGAACTCAGGGCTTGGGCACTGTCCCTGAGCTTTTGTGCTCAAGGCTAATGCTCTACCATTCTGAGCCACAAGCACTATTTCTGGCTTTTCAGTAGTTCATTGGAGGTAAGAATCTTATGGACTTTACTGAGGACTGTCTTTGAACTGTAATCCTCAGATCATAGCCCCCTGAATAGCTAGGATTACAGGTGTGAGTCATTGGTGCCTGGCTTGAGATTTTTTTTTAAATAATGGACAACACACTTTCAATTTCCTTGAATAGAGCTTGGATCACATGGTAACTTTTGAACTTTACACTGTTCTCCACCGTGGCAGCCACACACATTCCCTTAGCAGTGGATGGAGATTCCATTGCTCCATGTCCTTGTAAACACATTATTCTCCATCTCTTTAATTTTAGCTGCCCCCTCCTTAGCAGGAGGCAACACCTTACTGTGCTTTTCATTTGCATTTGCCCAATAACTAAAGCTATTGAACACTTTGTGAAATATGTCTGTAGGTAATTCTTGGGAGTGCTGGGGATTGAACCTGGAGCCTTCCAGAAGCTAAGGACATCGTCTAGCACTGAGCTACATCTCTAGTCGCAAGACTACTGGACAGGGCTGGGAAGGTAGCTCAGTGGAAGAGCGCTTGCCTTGCATGCATGAGGCCCTGGGTTCAATTCCCCGGTACCACGTAAGCAGAAAAAGCCAGAAGTGGCACTGTGGCTCAAGTGGTAGAGCAGCTAGCCTTGAGCTGAAGAACGGAGGGACAGCACCCAGGCCCAGAGTTCAGGCCCCACGACTGGCAAAAAAAAAACCCAAAAAACTGGATATTGTGTATTGAAAAATAGGTGTTCACATCTATTATTTATTCATTCATGTGCTATTTGCCTTTTTGTCCCCCTTTTTTTGTGACACTGGGGTTTTAACTCAGGACCCTGTATTTGCTAAGCAAGCAAGCAACCACTTAAGGTTAATTTGTCTTTTTATTATTAATTTGTAGGAGTTATCTAGATAATCTTGACATAAGATCCTTGTCAGATATGATTTGCATATACTGACTCATTTTGTGGGTTGTCTTCACTGTGTGTGTGTGTGTGTGGTGTAGATGGAACCTAGGGCCTTGACATGCTAAGCAAGTGTTCTACCATTGAGCTATCCATCTAGCCTGACTTTTACTTTCTTTTGTTTCCCTCAAATAGGGGTTCTTGTATAGTTCATACCTGAATTTCCTAAGTATCCCAGGCTGCCCTTGAACTTGTGAACCTATGATGGGACTTAGAGGTGTGTTACCAGGCCTAGCTTGGTAGTGTTCTTTTTTTTTTTTTTCATTGTCGGTCATGGGGCTTGAACTAGGGGCTTGGGTGCTGTCCCTGAACTCTTCACTTGAGGCTGTCTCACGGCAGCTGAGCACTGGTGGCTCATGCATGTAATCCTAGCTACTCAGGAGGCTGAGATCTGAGGATCATGGTGCAAAGCCACCTGGGGCAAGAAAGTCCATGAGACTCTTATTTCCAATTAACTACCAGAAAACCAGAAGTGGCACTGTGGCTCAGGGGCCAGGTCCATGACCCAAACAACAACAACAACAACTTAATTGGACTTTCCTGCTTAGGCTGGCTTCAATCAGATCTCAGCCTCTTGAGTAGCTAGGATTACAGGCATGAGCCACCGAGCCCAGCTGATAAAGTCTTTTTTTTTTTGTCAGTCATGGGGCTTTAACTCTAGGCCTGGGTGCTGTCCCTCAGCTCTTCAGCTCAAGGTGAGTGTTCTACCACTTGAGCCACAGTGCCACTTCCGGCTTTCTGGTGGTTTATTGGAGATAAGAGTCTCATGGACTTTCCTGCCCAGGCTGGCTTTGAACCGTGATCATCAGATCTCAGCTTCCTAAGTAGCTAGGATTACAGTGTCAGCCACCGGTGCCTGGCTTGATAAGTCTTTAAAGTACAAAATTCTTTCATTTGAAGAGGATTCATTGATCTATTTTTTCTCCTAACATTTTTATACTTTTAGTGTAATAGTTAGGTTATAATACAATTTGATTTTTTTAAAAAAATCTGTGATGCCTTGGATCAAACCCACACCTTGTGTAAGCTAAGCAAGCACTATGCCACTGAGCTAAAGCTTTAGATGAACATTTGTATTCTGATAAAATGTATATAATATAGAAAATTCACCATCTTAACTTCAAGTGTACAATTTAATAGCATTTAATATATTCACAGTGTTGTATCGCTATCACCATTGCCTGGCTTCAAAAAATGTTTCATCATTCCACACAGGAATGCTACACTTACTTAAATTCCTTAGTCTCCTTTCCTCTTAGCCCTAGTAATCTCTATTTTAATTTTCAGTCTACGTATTTGCTTATTCCAAATATATAAGTGGCTCATACAATATATCTGACCTTTTATGTCAGGCTTATTTCACTCTAAAAATGTATGAGCTTCATATTGTATCATATATCAGAAATTTTTTTTTTTTTTTGGCCAGTCCTGGGGCTGGAACTCAAGGCCTGGGCACTGACTGTCCCTGAGCTTCTTTTGCTCAAGGCTAGTGCTCAACCACTTGAGCCACAGTGCTACTTCTGGCTTTTTCTGTGTATGTTGTACTGAGGAATTGAACCCAGGGCTTCCTCCATGCTAGGCAAGCACTCTACCACTAAAGCCACATTCCCAACCCAGAATTTCATTCTTTAAGGTTGAATAATATTCCAGTATACATTTATATCACATTTTGGTAATTTTCTCATCTGTTGTTGGCTTCTAAGATATTCCCAACTTTTGGCAATTTTGAACAATTTTGTTATGAACAATGATCCAAGTCCCTGCTTTAATTCTTTTGAGTATATAATGAGAAGTAAAATTGCTAAATATGCTAATTTCATGATTACTCTGAGGAATTGCCAAATTGCTTTCTGCAGCAACCGTACTATTTCCATTCTCACCATCACTTATTATTTTCCATTAAAAAAAATAGCCATCCTCCTAATATGAAGTGGCTAACTTACTGAGATTTTTAATTTTGTGTTTTGGTGCTGGGAACTGAACCCAGGATCTTGAGCGTGCCAAGCAAGTGCTCTATCACTAAACTACATCTCCAGCCCTCATTGTGGTTTTGGTTTACATTTCCCTGATGACTCACAAGGGTGAGCATTTTTTCAGGGTTTTTTTTTTTTTTTTTGGGGTCCGGTCGTGGGGCCTGAACTCTGGGCCTGGGCGCTGTCCCTCAGCTCTTCAGCTCGAGGCTAGCACTCTACCACTTGAGCCAAAGCGCCACTTCTGGCTTTTTCTTTTTGCTTTTGTGGTGCTGAGGAATCGAACCCAGGGCCTCAGGCATGCAAGGCAAGCGCTCTACCACTGAGCCACCTTCCCAGCCCCATTTTTTCAGGTCTTTATTGGCCATTTGTAAATCTTTTCTGGAAAAAAGTCTAGTAAAGTCCTTTGTCCATTTGTTGTTGCTGAGGCATAGTTCTTTATGCATTATACATGGTAAATTCCTTATCAAATATTACATTTCAATTATTTTCTTCCATTCTGTGGGCTTTGCCATCCACTGACTAGTGTCCCTTGTTTGTTTTCCCCAGTACTAGCATTTAAACCTAAGGCAACGCTGAACTCAAGTCACAAAACTTTTTTTGTTAGTTTTTATGTTTTCCAGTGCTAAGAATTAAATCCAGGGCCTCATACATGCTAAGCAAGCACTGTACCACTTGAACTTCTTTTCTTTGTCTGCCTACCTCCTTCTCTCCCTTCCCCCATTACTTCCATCCCTCTTATCTGTAGTAGTAGAACTGAGGCTTGAACTCTGAGCATCATACTCTCACCAGTTTTCTTACTCAAAGCTGGCACTCTACCACTGGAGTTCCATAGATTTTTTTCTATCTGGGCTGATTTCGAACCACATTCCTCCAGATCTCAGCCTCTTGGGTAAGAATTATTAGCATGAGCCAATGATATCTGGCTTTGAACTCATTTTTAAGCTAGTGTCTGCAGAACTGTGCCTAAACTGCCTCAAACTCATTAATATTCTGCCTCCTACCCCAAGTAGCTGAGATTACAGGTATGCTATATAAAATTATAATATTAATACAGATAAAACTGAAAGGATTAATTTGTTATAACTTTTTGGCTATTTTTTCAATTTAGAGGTTTATAATTAATATAGGCTAAATATTAAGGGATAAACTGACTTTTTAAAAAAGTTTCATTCTGTGCTAGGTGCTGGTGGCTCACACTTATAATCCTAGCTATACAAGAAAGCTAAATCTGAGGATCACGGCTCAAAGCCAGCCTGGGCAGGAAAATCCAGAAGGCTCAATTCTCCAATAAACTATTTAGAAAAAGCTGGAAGTGGGCTGAGAAGTTGTCTCAGTGGTAGAGTGCTTGCCTCACACATGCATGAGGCCCTGGCTGAAGAGCTGAGGGACAGCGCCCAGGCCCAGAGTTCAGGCCCCACAACTGACAAAAAAGAAAGAAAGAAAAGAAAAAGCTGAAAGTAGCGCTGTGGCTCAAATGGCAGAGCGCTAGCTTTGAGCACAGAGAGGCTCAGGGACAGAATGTAGGCCCTGAGTTCAAGCCAAAGGACCAGACAAAACAAGAAAAGAAAAGTTTCATTCTAACCTAGGTGCCTGTGGCTCATACCTATAACTCTTGCTACTCAGGAGTCTGAGATCTGAGGATCACAGTTAGAAGCCAGCCCAAGCAGAAAAGCCCAAGAGACTCCAATTAATCCCCCAAAAGCTGGAAGTGGCACTGTGGTTGCTCAAGTGGTAGATTGCTAGCCTTGAGCAAGAAAAGCTCAAGTGCCCAGGCCCTGAATTGTAGTCCTATGACTGGTATAAAAACAAACAAAAACAAAGATTTTCCTTCATAGTATACACTCATACCTATCTACTCCTAATACAGAGCATTGAATTAATTTAAACATATTACATATACCTTCAATATCTGAAACTATTAGCATCTGGGGTTGAGAAAGACCTTCTTGAAGACTGTAGAAATGAATTGTACTGTCAAATGTTATGAAGCCAATTTTTGTCCTAGTGTTGCCAGGAAGCCTAAAAACAAATGCAGAAGAGTGTTTTGTCAAGTGTCTTCATATTTACACACATAACATATCAGCTAAGCATTATAGGAAAGCATGTAGCTTAGTATTATGGTAACTGTCTAACATAAATGTTTAAACAGCCAAGGTTTCCTACCATGACAACATGTACTCCCCAGTGAGAAACTAAGCATAAGCCACATAGTCAATGGAAAATAGCAACAGAACAGAAATTCAAAACCTCTTATTTTATATAAAATGATATACAATTCCACAGGAAGTAGTATGAACAAACCACTAGAAAGCACACATAAAAATCTGCAGGCCAGCTTTCTAAAGAATGATTCAGGGCCTGGGGATTTTTAGCTCAGTGCCAGAGCACTTGCCTTTCAGGTGCAAGTCTCCTCAACACTGGGTGGGAGAGGGGAAATGCTTCCCAAATTATCATATACCAACTTGAAGACACAATGTACATTTAGGTACTACATTTCTTAAAAAATTGCACAAGCCTGGTGCTAATGGCTCATGCCTATAATCCTAACTCAAGAGGCTGCGATACTGAGGATTGAAGTTCAAAGCTAGCCTCAGCAGAAATGTCTAATGAGACTCTTTTATTTTCAATTAACCATCAAAAAGGTGGAAATGGAGCTGTGGCTAAAATAGAGCACCAGCCTTGAAGAAAAATATGAAGAAACAGTGCCTAAACCCTGAGTTCAAGCCTCACTACTGGCACCAAAATAAATAACTCAGTGAGTTAAAAGTATCTATACAGGAAGGAATAGATGATGGCAAAATAGAATCCTGAAAATGATGAAGCTGTGGGGGTGTACCTGGAGATATATTATTCTAGTCTTACCTACTACAGCTTTAAAAAGAATGTTCCTAAGAAAAAGTAAAGCTGGCCAGGCACCTGTGGCTCACACCTACAATCCTAGCTACTTGGGCTGAAATCTGAGAATCAAGGTTTGAAGCCAGTCCCAGCAGGAAAGTCTGTGAAACTCTTTTTTTTTTTT